TCCTGAAGTTTTTTTGCTGTAAGATGGCTACCTTTACACAAGTCAGATATCAGGAATGGCAATATACAAAAACCTGTAGGAGAACACTTCAACCTCCCTGGCCACACAATAGCAGATGTGAAAGGTGACACCAAGGGGGCAGTATTCCGTCACCAATCAGCCCTTTCCCAAAGGCAGCATGTCCCTGCTCTGCAATAAACCTGGGGTGTCGCCTGCCCCTTTCCATCCACCCGCAGTGACATTGCTGTTTCCAGCCTATTGTATTTCACATGATCTGTGCAGGGAAAGGAGCAGAGAGCTCCCAGGGGGAGGTGGGTCTCACCATGGATAAAATATCAGCAGCATGAACAGTACCTGCATAAAGCTGGGCGCTTCTCCACCCTGCAACCAAACACAGACAGAGGGGTGAGAACGCCCCTGAATACAGACACACTGAGCAGGAGACAATGTCATACAAGGGTCATACTGGGGGGAATGGAACTTACTAAGCTCAGCCTGGAGTTTGTCTAAAAATAAAACACAGAGAAATGAGTCAGTATCACATTATCTTGCAGAAGAGAAGTGAGTCAAAAAGACCTTTAAAGCAGGGAAGTTAAAATCCTTAGACTCAGCCTGGAGGCTACGTCAGCAGCCAGATACCTGCAACCCCTGAGCAACAAAGGAATCAGCAAGGGGAGAAATATAGTAACATCACCTGGTCAGGTGCAAGAGGTTGTTAGAGCGAAACAGGGATCCTTCAGCAAATGGAAAATAGTAACCCTGTGAAGCCAGGAGAAAGGAGTATAAAACACATCTGGTGAAGTGCATGATGGGAATTAGGAGACTAAAATGGAATTAACAGAGTGAATGGCCAGAGATATAAAACAAATTCCAGGGAATTATTTCAGTCTATTAGAATCAAGAAGACTGAGAGAATCGATGGGTCCCCTGGATCAGCAGGGGATAAAGGGAGCAATTGAGGAGGGTAAGGACAATGCTGAGAGCCTAACTGATTTCTTTGCATCGGGTTTCACCATAGACTCTAGAGGGTGCTGGGGAGAGACCTGCCCTGGAGCTGCTCTGTTCAGGAAATAAAAATCAGGGATGAGGTGTGAAGAGGAGATATTGGAACAAACTGATATGTTAAAGGGCCAGCAGCCACCAAGACCAGAGGGGATCCCTGCCACATATCAAAGCCCAGGAGCTCCGACATCAGAGAGAGATGGCCGGGTTGTTTACAATAATATGCCTCTCTCATTAAAATCAGCTACTATTCTGGAGAATTGGAGAGCTGGCCATGTTGTACCCAGCTTTAAAAATTTGGCAGGAGTAATCATGAGAATTACAGCCCAATGAGCTTTACTTCAGTATCTGGTAAACTAGCTGAAACAATAACTAAAATAGAATTCTAAAACAGCTGTATGATAATGATAGGTAAGCAGTTCTGGACAGGAAACCTGTGTCCTACTAAATCTATTAAATTGCTTTGAGTATGTCAGTAAAATAATGTACAAAGGAGAACCCAAGGGCATAGTTTATGTGGACTTTCAAAAAGACTTTAAGTTTCTCAAAAAAGCTTATTACGGAGATTAAGTCATCATGGGGTGAGAGGTAAAGTATCGTCTTGGATCAGAAACCAGCTAAAAGACAGAAAACAAAGAGTAGAAATAAATGGTCAATTTTCATATGGAAAATTATAAGCAGTGGGGTGCCTCAAAGTTCAGTAGTAGGACTGGAGGTTAGTCTATTTATCAGTGACTTGGAAAAAGGGATAAGCCGAGTGTGATGTTGCACCCCATAATGTTTTATGGACATATGCTTATGAAAGTAAATATGACATAACTGGAATATGTTTTATGCTAGATATGCCATGTAACATAGCTCTGCAAAGGTTATGACCTACTGGATATATTCATCTTATTTGTATGCATGTATCATTTTTGTGTTCAAAGTTATGAATATTGGCTATGTACTTGTTTAATTTTAAGTAGCCTCAGTGAAGCAGTTGGTCAGCTTCCTGAATGAAGACTATTCTTAGTAAGTGCCCATAATGAATGTGGAGATGCCAATCCACATCTGAGCTTTCCTGAGAATGTGGCCTGGCTGGTAAGGAACTGAGTCATGCATGGACATGTGACTTGCCCATGTGACTCCAAAACTCCATCTTGGAGCTGGATTCTGGATAGGAGAGAGGAGGAGGTCTCCACCCAAAAGAGAGAGTCTAATTAAGTCCCTGGGAGACCCCTCCATTTTGTCTTCAGCTGGCTCAAGAGAGAGCGTCTCCACTCCCCCAAAGGATACCTGAAAGAAACTGAAACAAAGGACAGTAGCCACTGGGATGTGAGTGATTGCTGGACACAGACTAAAAGGAGGCTAGTCTGTAAAAGAAACTTATGGGAACATCTCTGAGGGTGAGATTTCATCTGTAATCACTTTCTTACTGTATTAGGCATAGACTTGCGTGTTTTATTTTATTTTGTTTGGTAATTTACTTTGTTCTGTCTGTTATCACTTGGAACCACTTAAATCCTACTTTTTGTATTTAATAAAATCACTTTTTATTAATTAACCCAGAGTATATATTAATACCTGGGCGGCGAACAGCTGTGCATATCTCTCTATCAGTATTATAGAGGGCAAACAATTTATGAGTTTACCCTGTATAAGCTTTATATAGGGTAAAACAGATTTATTTGGGGTTTGGGAGCTGGGCATCTGAGTGCTGGAGACAGGAACACTTCTTAAGCTGTTTTCAGTTAAGCCCACAGCTTTTGAGGGACGTGGTTCAGACCTCAGTCTGTGTTTGTAGCAGGCAAGTGTGTCTGGCTCGAACCAGACAGGGCACTGAAGTCCCATGCTGCCAGGGAAAACGGGCTCAGAGGTAGTCTCAGCACATCAGTTGGCAGTTCCCAAGGGGTTTTATGTGATCCAACCCATCACACCGAGAGGTGGCAAAACTTTGGTGAGGTTACTGTGATATTTACTGTATGAAGATCCTGAGTTAGCAAAATAGCAGCTTTGTCAGGAAATGCATCAGGAACAGGGAAGAAGATTCCGAAGATGATGGGATTCCAGACAGAGCTCCAGAGGAGGACACCCAGTGTGTAGGCAGCAGCTGGAAGGGCATCCAGATGGCATCCAGAGTGAGTTCCCGAGACCATGGGGGCTTGGAATGGGGAAAGCTGCAGCTCAGAAGAGAGAAACTGCAGCAAGAGCACCAGGGGCTTGCTGACAGGAGCAGGAGAAGTGGAATATGAGAAGGAACACCAGCATGAGCAGGATGAGGACAGAGAAACAGTGACAGCATGAACTATAGAGGGAGAGGCTGTACCAGCAGCTCATTGATCCAGGAGTTCGGGTCAGACATTGTATGTATAGCATCTTAGGCCTGGTCTACACTACGAGTTTAGGTCGACTTTAGCAGCGTTAAATCTAATTGAGCCTGGACACGTTCACACGACGAAGCCCTTTCTTTCGACTTAAGGGGCCCTTTAAACCGGTTTCTTTACTCCACCTCTGATGAGGGGATTAGTGATAAAATCGGCCTTAGCGGGTTGGAATTGAGGTAGTGTGGACGGAATTCAACATTATTGGCCTCCGGGAGCTATCCCACAGTGCTTCATTGTGACCGCTCTGGACAGCACTCTCAACTCAGATGCACTGACCAGGTAGAAAGGAAAAGCCCCACGAACGTTTGAATTTAATTTCCTGTTTGCCCAGCGTGGAGAGCACAGGTGACCATGCAGAGCTCATCAGCACAGGTAACCGTGATGGAGTCCCAGGATCGCAAAAGAGCTCCAGCATGGACCGAACGGGAGGTACGGGATCTGCTCGCCATATGGGGAGATGAATCAGTGCTAGCTGAACTCCGTAGCAGTAAACTAAATGGCAAAATATTAGAAAAGGTCTCCAAGACCATGAAGCACAGAGGCCATAACAGGGATGCACAGCAGTGCCGCGTGAAAATTAAGGAGCTAAGGCAAGCCTACCACAAAGCCAGAGAGGGAAACGGAAGGTCCGGGGCAGAGCCGCAAACATGCCGCTTCTATGCAGAGCTGCATGCCATGCTAGGGGGTGCAGCCACCACTACCCCAACCGTGTGCTATGACTCCGTCACTGGAGAAACACACAGAAAAGAGGGTTCGGGGTATGAGGAAGAGGAGGATGAAGCTAATGTAGATAGCTCAGAGCAGCAAGGAAGCGGAGAAACCGGTTTCCCCAACAGCCAGGATATGTTTATCACCCTGGACCTGGAGCCAGTAACCCCCGAACTCACCCAAGGCGTGCTCCCAGACCCTGAGGGCATACAGGGGACCTCTGATGAGTGTATCTTTGTAAATATTACACATAGTTTAAAAGCAAGCGTGTTTAATGATTAATGATTAATTTGCCCTGGC